AGATATTTAACACCATCTGTTAATTATTTGTCTTGGGCATTGTCATTCGTCACTCCAATTCTTTACCTTACAGGTATATTATTCTTCTAGGACATATTCTTTGGCATTGGGCTCCAAATTATCCAATACTATTAGAGATGTTGACATTTTTTATCCAGTTGCCGGTCGGATAATATAGACTAATTAAATTAGATAACGAAACTGTTTTTAAAGGCATTTTCATATGGCGAATAAAAACACAAATTGCAACCAACATCACGTTATACTTATTATGGCAACTGTTGGTACATGATAAAAACGAAAATATACCGTGCGCCGCTCAATACAAAGTACTGAAGTGTGAAAGAAATCGTTTTCCGATACATTTTATAAAAAATGTACACAACGTGTTTGTTCAAAAAATCTATTGGAATTTGAACACGCCGATTTGTTGAATGCAAGTAATATATGGCTGAACTATTCTCAGATAAGAACCAAAAACTTTTTGCGGAACAAAAAGAGTTTTTGATAAATCTCGCGGGATGCGTACAGGAATATTTGCTTTCATCGTCATAAAACGTTATTGTTTACACGTGTAAATATTTAAAAAAATAAAAAAAAATAAAAATCAATATAAAACTCATTCGTAACAAAGCAATGTTGTTTTTCACTATAACGCGAACCAACAATATTTTGAACTGTTTGCGTATCAAATAGTTGAAAGATGAAAAAATGCCACTATAGTTTCGCGGTCGAAATTGAAATTCTACAAACTTGACTTCTATAGCCTCCAGTCCCAACATGTACTGAAGTTAGAATTGAATGTGTTAATGTATTTATATATGAACGTAGTGAAATTTTAACGTATCACAACAGTACATTTTTATATTGTTTATACTTGATATTATACGAGTAGTTAGTTACTCTTGATTTGTCAACTTTGTACACTTCTAGCTGTAATGGAAGAAGTTGTATCAACTTGGTTGAGAATGTTATGCACAAATCTTTAACCGAACGACTGTTTTACGTTTTTTTTGCCTTTCAAAGTGATTTTCATAGAAATAATCGAGAAACTACAAAAAAAAATATATATATATATATATTTTTATATAATAACAGGCTAAAAATATGTACCTATTAGATGTTTAATTTTTAAACTTAAGTAATGCAACTTTTAAAAGATAAAAAAAGACCGCGTAAAAAAATTTTAAAACAATATTATCGTAGTAAAATCAATAGTCTCTTTGGTCGTTTCACTTGAAGTAAAAAAAGTAAAAAGTAAATATTTTCTGAAAAAAAATAAAAAAAACCTTAACACTAAACCGTAGTTAACTTGTTTATTTTTAGAAAATAGGTTTTCTTCCTCGGAAAATATATTTTATGTAATGGAATATTTATCTTCGATAATATGACAATATTACCTAGGTATAATATACAAAAACGGCTATAAATTATTAATTTTGTGCCCATCGTTTTTCTAACGGTTTTTTCACGTCGACCACTCGACAAACACCAGTTTACAAGACTAAATATTATTATAAAACGTATTCAGCTAGATGGCTGCGTTATAATATCACCATCGCGTCATCCGAGTTGGACCGTGTATTGTTACTATAAGTATATAGTATATTGTATGGTGTTCACCCAGTGACGGATCCACAGTTACAAAACTATTTCAAGAGGTCACTTATTAGAGCTGAAACTGGATTAGAAATATTATACTTTGTAACAGAAAAATAAAATACGATCGTATAATATGTGTTTCTAAAATTATTCATTACTATCGTTGAAAACATTAACATTTATTTTATTTTATGGAACATTACGTTTTATATGGGGTCCGGAATAGAGACATTATATGTATATATTATATATTTAGAAATTATTAATTTTAACCAGTGGTGTCACTCGGGGGGTGGGAACTGGGACAAGTCTCGGATTAACTTCAATTAGATACAAAAACACTGTTTACCTACGTACGTACAATAGAATGAACATAAGATGATGTGAATTCGAATTTGTAAATAACTGTAATTTTTCCAATTAAAATGAGATTTACGTGAACATATTACCAAACTATACGGCTTTTATTTGTACTGCAGGAGAACTTAATCGACAAACGTATTTTTGCGGAGTCTAAAACAAAAAATTAAAAAACACTATTCGCGCACAACAACCGAAACGTATCCGTTTGGAATGGGAGAGTTTATGAGTTAATCAAAGTTTCTCGGGAACAATATTATACATGAACGGGCGGTCGGGTACTTCTCTTGTACCTCAGGTCACTGACGATATTTTCCACGCGAACGTTTTAGCGCATGGTTATAGAATTACCGAGAGTTTGTTTCAGCTAATTGAAGCGATTGTCATGCGCAGTTATAATTTGACTATATTACATAGCATACGGACAGAACCGATATTACATTGGACTCATTGGGTTCGACTTAGGTTTTCGGTCGAATCGATAGAACTTTCAAGGGAAAAGTTGTCATCGATCTTACCCCGTCGTTCCTGTATAGTAATAGTAATCTGTGTAACCATACAATATATACATACAATATATACAATATATACATACATATTATTGTTGCGAGTAGGTTTCGGGGCGAAAAAAATATGAGGAAATAAGGAACGCCCCCGCATTTTTTTTCCGTTCATTTTTCATTCTCAAAAAAATACGTTTTTTTTTATTAACGCATCCGAAGTGATTTTTTTTTAGATTTTCCCCCATGCACAGTTGTTAGTGATATTAAATTGTAGTTTCGACGTAGCGAATGACTTTTGAGTTTCCGTTAAAAGCTTTGTACTGCTCCCATTGGTAGTGGTTTATAAAATTCTATCGGTGGTATCCAGGGTTCATCAACCATGGTTACGGTGCACGTTGTGCAGGACGATAGGCCACGGCCCCGTGGCACTCAGAGTTGCCCAATTGCGGCCCGAATGCAGGTAGTCGTATTTTATTCCAAATATAAGTATCCCGATTGCGTCAAGACACACATTGGTTCACAAAATGTTTAATATTTATTTTAAAAGTATAATTACAAGATTGCAGTAACAAATAGTAAAATAATAAATTTTTTACAATATAAAAAGATATGAAATACAATTATGTCAGTAAATAGTCAATAAATAGTCGAATATTAAAATAATAAATTGTCTACAATAAAAAAATAGTTAATAGTTGTTGTATAGATCTATGTAAATTACCACGCCGAATATCGATTGTCGTATGAATCGTGATTACGATAGTTGATTACTATGTCAAAATACGTATCGGACGCAATTGGGATATTTATTTGGTTTTGATAATCACTTGAATAGTAATTCCTACCTGCTATGTACGGGCCGCAATCGGGATAGGTGAAAAGGTAAAAAGGTTACTTTGGGCCGCAATCGGGCGACGCCCGTGGCACCACCGTCGATTAAAGACGTTTGAGACGTTAAATCGACGCGTTTATCAACGTACGTAAAGCAACTATGTATGGTGTCCCGCAGGGAAGATCGATCGATCAAGCACAGCGGTTTCTAGATTTCGACGAATTCGGGTCACAGAGAGCATACTCCGGACGTAAAATATTTATCGACTTCTACTCGGTTCAACGTGAATTCAAAACGCACCCGATAACCTCACGCCGGTAGGGTACGCAGGTAGAATCGAGAGTTCACTTTTACACGCATTGGCGTCATCACGGACCGTCGAACACGCTGCATCCTCTTGAAAATCTATTCTCCGTTACGATTTCTTACCGCGTAACCTATCACGATTTAGCAGTTCAGACGTTGCGAACTGATGTCTGATGCGGACCCGCGCGGCAGCCGTCACCAAAACGGCTGTCACCGACCGTGCCCTTATCTCTCTCATCAACCACCAGTCCGCGGCATGCAAATTCGCCGTGACACCCCGTCCCCCCATCCATCACCGGTCAGGGAACGCGAGCGGTCGCGACGACGTCCGCTAAGTACCACCATCTGAACCGTGCTGTTTTTCCGAGACAGTCTACGGAGACACATTTCATTTTGTTTTTTTTCTCATATTTTTTGTCGTCAATAACTATATGTTATTTTGACCACACTTGTGCTCGTTAATTGTCATCCTTATTAATATATCAATTACTCAGTGCGATAATATTGTATTATTTTTTTATTATTATAATATTTTTAATAACGGTGTCCACCGCACTTGCGACACGTGCACATTTAACATCATCATCGAGACACGCGGACCAGAACCGTTGCGATATTGTGCCCATCAAATCTCACGAAAATATATTTACCACTGCGTTTACATATAATATAATATACAAATATATATATATGTCGTAGCCACTTAATGAAATTGATCATTTCATGAAATGGAAACGGCTTTTTAACACTTCGTGAAATACGAAAATATTTCATATTTTTCATGAAACGGTCGTTCCAATTTGACATCGTGTAATTTTTTTCACAATCTGGTCGTTCACTTTGCGTACCGAAAATATATTTTATATTTATCATGGTCTTATAATTATTTTTATCAGTAGATATAAAATGTGTTATAAGTTATAAGTTATAAGTTATAACTATTGATTTAAGCACGAAATTCCTTTATCACAAATTGAATTATACAATAATATCTATTAAATAAAATAAAATAACCATCTGAAATGAGCAGATTATATTTTATTGACTTTGATTTATTATATTAGATTCTTGTTAAAAGTGTATAGTCGGTAAACGGATTGCATTGTGCTCACATATTCACGCATTTTAGATACTTACTTTAAAATAGTTTTGTAGAATCATAATAATATGGAAGATTTTAATCCAAAAAGTGAATTTTACATTCGAATGGACAAGTATTATTTGGACAAACCGGAAAGAAAGCCATATACAAATATGTAGATTGAGAAAATTATGGCCGAAATTACTGATGCTAAATTAAATAATTACCTACAAGATTAATTAATTTGACCATCCATTAATCGTGAGTATCGGTAATTCATTTAAATTAAAAAATACACACTATTTTTTTCACAAAGGTGCAAAGAAAAGACGTGATTATTATATTTTACAAAAATATGATGTATTAACTATGGCTGAGAAGAAATATTTAATTCATAAAACAACTGATGACAAAGATGATATCAAGTAAGATATATTTATATCTATAAAATAAATAAGTAATTCAAAACAAATTGCGTACGAAAACCATATCCGCGATGGTCGCGTCGCAACGGTCCGAGAGCGATCACTGTACTCGAAAAGCTGAGAACGTGTGGTGCCCCGGACCGAAGGCTTGCCAATAAATATGACCAATGTGCGCTACAACAAGTGGAAATCCGACGCTATGGCACAAAGCACGTAAACATTTACACGTATCGTAGCGCACACGTCGATAAAATAAATAAATAAATAATAATGTACAATAATAAGTAATTTATTTATTTTATAGATATGTAGTGTCATACGAAGACTTGTTCAAAAGACTAAGTGATTACCACATACGTATTGGACATGGTGGTGTGGGAAAAATGCATGCGATACTGTCCAATAAATATTCGATTTCAAGACCAGCTATTGAAACTTTTCTATCAATATGCACAATTTGTAATAGTAAGAAAGGGTCAAATCGTAAATTGGTTATCAAACCAATTGTAAGCAACAACTTCAACGAGATAGGTCAAGTTGACTTGGTGAATTTCTAGTCACTACCTGAGGGATAATATAAATAGATTTTAAACTATCAAGACCACCAAACATAATTTATATCTTTATTTCCACTTAAAAGTAAACGAGCTGTTGAAGTAGCATCTAATTTATTCACAATTTTTTTAACTTTTGGTGCACCGAAAGTTTTACAAAGTGATAACGGTAGAGAGTTTGTAAATTCTGTTATTAACGAAATTAAGGAACTTTGATCGGAATGTATTATTGGACATGGGAGACCAAGACATCCTCAGAGTCAGGGAAGTATTGAACGTAACAATAAGGATGTTGAAAATATGCTTCGAGCATGGATGAAGGACAATAAATCTAAAAAATGGTCTATAGGATTAAAGTTCGTCCAATTCCAGAAAAATTCTTCACACCAACGCATAATTGGCCGATCTCCTTACAAAGCATTATTTGGCTGTGAGACTAAGGTTGGGTTAATAACATCTAACTTACTACAAGAAGTTTTAAAAAAATAAACAGCTGAAGAAGATCTTGAAAAATATACAACCGATATGAAGAAGAAATACAAGAACAAATAAATATTAAACGATATTGTAGAATTTGTAAAATTGAATCCACAAAAGATTTTTGTGATTTGTGTAAAACAAATCAAAAAATAGAAGATGAACTGGAAGCAGTGCATATAGGTCAAAAAAAAAGCCGCCGAAAGAATGTTACAAGTATCTAATTATTTATTATGTATGACAATTTGACATAAATAGTAAATAAATTAGATGTGTACAGTAAATTTAAGTATTTTTTTTTTTTTGTTATTTGTTACAGGTTATACGTATATATTATTATAATATATATATATATATATATATATTAGGTTATACGGTTTATTATTCCTACGTTCAATATTAATGACTGCATCGCAATTCCTGTTCCAAAAGTCGATAGAGGGCCTTTAGACCCATCACGCATGATTGCTGTTATAGTTGAGAAAAAAAATGAGATATATAGAGTAGGAACTGAACATCGTTTGATTTAAGGATGGTTAAGTTCTGGAAATATGCAGCGTACCACAACATATTTCATATCTGTTGATCAAGTTGACAAGCAAAACGAATTAACTTTGCGTGAAACAGTTAAAATTATATCTGGAGGTCAAGGATTTTTGAGTTGTATATGTAAAAGTACTTGTCAAACTAAACGTTGTGCTTGTTTTAAAAGTAGTATTAAATGTATTAGCCGTTGCCATAATTCATTAAATTGTTTAAATAAATAATTATTAACTTTACGATAAATTATATTATATATAAATTATTAAAATTATTATATAATTTATTTAATTACCTACATATTACTACACGTATTATTAATTATATCAAAACTAAACTTAATATAATATACTTACCATATTACACAATATAACAAACAAAAATTATTATAAAACTTTAATAAATATGAAATATAATTTCGGTACACAAAATTAACGACCAAATTGTGAAAAAAATTACACGATGTTAAATTGGAACGACCGTTCCATGAAATGGTCAATTTCACTAAGTGGCTACGACATATATATATAAATATAATATTCATATTTATTATCAGTGATAATCGTACTAAATCTCAACACTGATTTAAATTTACTATTCGTATTCATATATTCATTGTTTTCATAAATTGAACGTAGGCAAATAGTCACGAACATTTTACCATTAAACGATACAAGAGCACATTGAATTTTTAATATTCAGTGCATTTAAATTCGACCTGTTAAACGGAACTATGGATATCGTGATGTCATCATAACCTATAGTATTTAGTAAATTTAGAGATAAAACGAAAAATTTATGGAAAAAAAATAGTGGTGCCTTCTTCGGTCCAGTTTTCACCGGTAAAATACGATTGAGAACGTAATTTTTGGTAACACGATTGAGAACACTCAAGTTATTTTTTCGAACGTTGCCAAATGTAATCGATCGATAGTTTGAACACAATAATCTGTTGATATTTATCGGACTTTTATCGGATTAGCTGGATGTTAATCGTAACTTAGATACCAGATACGAGAAAATGACGGTTAAGCTTTGCAGTCGTTACACAAACTAATCGTCAATACGAGTATAATATACTACATAGCATATTTGTTAAAATGGAAAAGAACGAAATTAAAATTATAAGAAGCGAACGAGGTGAAGACCTAATATTATTAAAAAGTAATAAATTTTATAAATTCTACATATTTTAAATTTTTTATTTATATTATTATATATATTACATATTATTTGGCACTTATTTGTATACGATTATAATTATTAATTTATGACTTTTTTCAAGAATATTTATTGTATGTATACTGAATTTTTCAAAAGTCAAATAAATGATATGGCAAACTATGGCAACGTTGTACATAAATTTGTTCTCAATCGTATCGTTTTTTGGGATTTTTTTTAGGTCGGTGGTAAGTTCTATGTTAATTTTAAGTGTTCTCAATCGTTCGGCCAAAAAGGTTAATGTTCTCAATCGTTCGATAGCCGTTTTCACCGTGTTTATATCAGTGTTTCCTGACATGAGGGTTGTGAACACGTTTGTCGTCACGCTCAGTGGTCATTAAGTGTTTTTTTTTTTTTTTAAATATCTATACCAATGGACTTTAATCTTTTTAACTCATGACCCACTTTTCTTATCGTACATTTTTCGTAAGAGTTACCCGTTTCCACCATAGCCCTTTTTCATCAAAAACAAAAAATGTACGGTTCCCGTTACCGTCAAAAGCCATTTCCGCCAAAAAAAAGTTTGGAAGCCATTGGTTTTAATTTTTAAGCAAAATTGAATATATGTTATGGTATGTGTAAAAAATATTTGTAATATATTAATACAATCATAATCTTCGATAATTGTTGATAATCGTCGATAATAACAGTTTAGATATTATATTATCAAAATTAACAGTGCTCAAAATAATATAAAAAAAAAATTAAAAAAAAAAAACAAAAAATATTAAACCATTTAAAAACTACAGAAGACCCAATTACAAAAAAAAAAAAAAAATTCAATGAAATTAGTAGATACACTTTTGTCAAAACTGTTTCCTTTAATTATAAGATTTTTTAAAACCTGACCTATACTTACGAATGAAATATTTTAAAACTTGACATATACTTGTATTATAATTTATATTTTTGGTGACATTTTTAAATATTTAAAAATTACGATATATGTTTTTTCATAACTCTATCGAGACAATATTTGACATATACTTATTTTATACTTTATAAATAGTTAAAAAGAATGGACATATTATAATTAGTGGTGGGCATATCCGGATTTCAAAAATCCGAATTATCCGGATTTCACGGATTATCCGAAGTATCCAGATTATTCAACTCGATTTTGCTGTTCAATGACTCATTTTTATATACTAATAATATTTTAATAATATAACATTTTGTTAAATTTTCATTATAATAAAATAATTTATTTTATCATATATTAAAAATATTTGTAAGTCTGAAGTCACATAAAAAGCAAATCCATAAATCCGGATAATCCGGATTTGGATATCCGGATACTCGGATAATTCAGATATTCGGAATTCATGCCCATCCCTAATTATAATATGAAATTATGTAATATTATAAAAACAAATAATAATAAAATAATAAAAAATACAATATAATTGTGCCTATATTCGACTAATACGAGCATATCATTATTATCTATTTGTACTTGTATTGAAATTTAAAATGAAAGAATATGTAACTATTGTATATGGTTTCCAAACGTCTTTTCACAAAAATATATTTTGGCGGAAACGGGAATCATACCTTTTTTTGTTTTTGGCGAAATAGTGCTATGCGTAAATTAGGGAACTGGATTTTTGGTGGAAACGGACATGCCCTTTTTCGCGACCCAAAAACCAAAAACAAAATTAAAATTGCTTAAATGTATGCCATAGTAGGAGAGCTTTTATAACTGAATGAATTCAAATTTATATTTGTTTAGACATCTAGATTATATTTAATTTGTATTATAAGTAATAATACAAAAAAAAAAAAAAAATCATGTGATATTTGTTCATCATTTTTTTCACACGCAATACTTCCCCACTGAGTTTAATTTCACACAATGTAGTTAAAAGATAAATTACATGTAAATTACTTGTATGAATTATGTGGACTATTCCTATACTTTTATTTTATTTAATTGTTCATTTTTTTTTTTTTTTTGACTTCAATAAAGGTTATTAGTCAATTAGTCAATAGATGTTAAATATTATATGTGTAGGTGTACGGTTTAAAATTTAGATTTACTAATAATATTTGTGATACTTAAGAATGTGATAATTTTCAGAGTTTAGGTTTCGACAAGTGCGTATTTAGGTATATTATGTACACTCCTCCTCCACTACGTGTTAATGATTTTGTGTCACATATTGATTGAAACTCTTTTCTAATTAAATAGGAGTCTATGAGAGAGGAGTGTTATTTCTTATCTTATACAAATATAAAATAAAACAGTTTAATCGAAAATTATTTTATCTGATATTATATGAAATACATAATATAATATATGTAAATATGAATTTTTAAAATCTTTAACAGAAGTCTAATCGTGAGCCACCAGTTGAAGACCACTGTTTCATAAGGATCGAGAGAAAAAACGAAAAATTAATATCCAACTGGAATTTTTTTTTGTTACGACTCGCTATTAGATTTAAATATGAAAACGGGGGAAAAAGGTTTTTTTTTTTATTTAATTTGCTACTGTCTGAGACATAACAGAAATAAAATTAAGTGGTAATACATGGTAATCTATAAAACATACATTTATATTAATCAAATTAAGAAGACTGCGGGAATAATAAAATTAATGTTGGAGTTGAAATGATATGGGTAAAGCAAGAATTAAGGATAAAATTTGAATTGCGAATGAGATAACCTAGGGTGGATAGGAATGAAAAAAGGAGATGTCTACTAGGAGGAAAGAGACAATGAAAAATGATACGGTTGAAATCTATGTGGTGTGGGGTGCATTGAGGAGATGAGTTAAGGAAGAGTTTAAAGGAATGATAGTAGACTGTGGCCAATTTGAAGACGGGTAAATAATGGGAGAATAAGTTTTAAATGTAATAATTTTAATTTACCATTAAAAATCAAGAAAAAAAGAGTCGAGCGTTTTAAATCTAAAGCAATCGGGGTGGAGGAGCCGAGAATAAAAAAAACATATTAATCGCTCACGTACCTGTCGATGGAAATGGCCATTAGTGTAAACACGCTAGCGCATATGGACAGCACTGCCACGAACTGGCTGATCTTGCAGTAGGCCGTGCCGAAAGACCAGTTGCTGGTCAGCATGTAGCTGAAGTTAACGGACACGTTGAGCGTGGACACCATGGCGTCCGCTATGGACAGGTTGACCAGAAAGTAGTTGGTCACGTTTCGCATCCGCTTGTTGGTCATCACGATCCATATGACGATTAAGTTGCCACCCGTGGCCACCATGATCATGGGTACGAACAGCGCGGTCCACGCCAGCTGGTGCCACCACGACAACTCGAACTGGTTGCTGTCGGGCCACGCGGCATCCGCGCCCGTCCCGTTCCCGGTCGAGTTGGCAACGCCACCGCCGCCACCGCCGAAGTCCGACCCGTTCATCGTCCCCGACCCTCTAGAACACGTCAAACACAAACGACACGTTAGTCAGTGTATAGAATGTATAATAGTCATGTTAGTATCATAATATAGGTACCTAAACTGATATATAATCAGTGACATAGACACAATTTTTTTCTATTGTGGGGGGGGGGGTGGTTAACTATAATATTATATAATATAAAATAAAAAAAAATACTTGTATTTGTATTCAAATACTTAGTGAGTATTCGTGAAATACATTTTTATAATAGTATTTTATAAGTATTTTTAATACTTTTTTATTCGAATATTAGTATTAGTATTTTAATACTTTTTCAAAAGTATTTTTTACAAGACTGATGAAAATATTCATAAATGATGTGTAAATATTTTGGTTTTTTCGTATTTTTCTATTGAAAAAGTCGTTTTGTTTTTTGTATGACAGTGAAAATTAATTTTTGAACATTCAAATGATCATTATTTTCAGTAAAATAAAATTTTTATTATTACTTTATGAGTAAAATGTTGAATACATCTCATATGCCGATATTCGAATAAATAAAAAAAACCAATAAACAATAACATTACGGTATTACGTTATTGGTTTTCCTTAAACAGCAACGGAGAGAGTAACGCGTGTGCCTCTGTGTCATCTGAACAGGGTGCATGGACTATAAGTACACGGACTCCGGGCACACAGCGTCTGCGGCTTTTCTCGAATAACGAACTGCGGCCAAGAGCTAATGCGAACGAACGTTCTACGATATCTAACGACTCGCAATCAGGGGCAGAACTAGGGGGTGGAAGACGAGGATTCATCCCCTGTCGTACAATTTTAGAGGGTGTAATTTTTATAATTATTAACAACTAATTTGTTGTATTTAACTTTAACAATAAGTATGATTGTATATTAATTATTAGAAAAATATTCTTGAGAAGAGTATTTCATTATTGGTCTATGATAGGGCGTAATTTTAACATTTTCTCCGGGCGTAAAAATGCCTAGTTTCACCTTTGCTTGCAACGGTCGTCCGGTATAAAGAGACGACTAGGACACTTATGCGGTGTGTGCGTGTGTACAATACCGGCAATCAGTACGCCCACACGCGCCCCGCGACGGGTGAACATTAACGTTGGGATAGTGCGAAACGAGAAAAATAACCAAAAAAATCCCGTTTCAATCGAAACATATACGGTAAACAAATCTTGACGCGTTGCGTTACTTACTGGACCGCCTTCGCGTCACGTCATCACTGTTTCTTGTAGTTTTTCAAAACAACCCATCGGATGAACGCGATTACTTTTTGCCCGTCAATCTCCCCTTAAGTCGACCCGGCCGATATAGAGCCAAACGACAATTCTTTCGAGGCTTTCGAGAAGAAAAAAAATCCTATACATTCTCAAACATCTACGTAATATCCTGCGATTACATTGAATACTTGGTTTTCGCATCTGTACGCAACGGACGCAAAAAAAAAAATCTTCTTCCGTTAAGACACGAATCAATGCTTCCGAATCGGTACGTCGTGCATAAATATTGTACAATAATAATAAGTTGTCGACGATACAACAACAATATCAGTTAGGTTGGGTTAAGTTCGACCCTCGCTACCATTGACTATTATAAACGTTTATTGATTTTTACATTCTTACATTGTTTTTTATATCAAATGACAGAATTACCAATACCGAGTAATTTTCAGAATTATTTTTTTTTTTTCGTTTATTGTTTTATCAACATGATTTAAGTGATATACTTAGGTATACATTTTATTATATGTATATTTAACGCTATTATTTGATTTAAGTTGTGAGTACACGCCTAACTATTACTTTACACCGGATATCGTATCCAGTGCCGGATCTAAATCTCAGGAGACCGGGGGGTTCAAATATCAATTATAGACCCCTAAAAATAAAAAAAATTGTTCAACATAACACATATATTTATTTAATATATTTTGTTGTACTAAATAAATAAAAAATAATAATAGTAATTTATTATTAATTAATATTATTAATATTTATTTATTATTATTTATAATTAAGTACCTTAACTATTAGGTAAATTAAAAAAAAATAACGAAACTGACAATTTTCAATTTTTTTCTAGAGACCCCGGTGCATTCCATGCACATCCGCTAAATCCGGCAATGACCAGGTCACCGCAATATAACTTATAAGATACAATTTTTCTTATCTTATATTAAATTATAAGTTGTAAAGATTGTTACATATTATTAATGTCTACTCATGTAATATGGATATTGCTGAGTAGACATCACGTTAATTTACATGTTATTACATTAAGTCGTGGTAGTTCTGCTACAACGTTCGTCCGAGGTAGCTGAACTCCATAGTCCGTAAGTCTAATTTATATATGTATATTAAATAATAACTAAAACTAAATCAATCTACATTTATTTGTAATATCAAGATCTTTCCTCTTATGCTCCCGAGCTACGGGATAATATATTCATAAGGACTAGAAAACCTTCCCTGAATATCATATATTTAACTGGTCATCCCCGACCACGTTACAAAGTGATTCAAATTTAAATTTCTAGTTACAAATTAGTAAATAAAATACTCTGAAATATTAATTCTATAAATACTAAATGTTATGATCGTACATTTATACTCCAATTTAATTATTATTTCGAACTAAAATTCAAATTATTTCATTTTTATGAGCTGTTATTCTTATATAGTTTACCTTTATGTGCAATTTTGCGAACATTTGACCTTGACTTAAAAGAAGTATTTATTCTTACTGAAACCACTGTTTCTAATATTAAAAAATTACGTAAAAGCATAACTTTTTAGTTTCAAATATTATTTAAAGATTATCTAAAAAATTTTCAACATATATTTATACAAATAAATTGAATATAGAAAATGGTTTAGAAAAACCCTCTTAAATTTGATTTTGTTTTCTGATTTATAGTATTATAATTTATAAGCTAAATTTAACAAATATTTTTTAATACACAAATGATGCACTATTTATATTATTTATATTCTATAAAAAATATCTCATTTTTATATTGATTATTATAAAAATAATACAAAACATTTCAACTCACCCCCCATAATTCAAAATTTTTGAGCATGCCTCTACATATATTTATACATTGACTCAATAGGAAACAAAAATAAACCCTTAATAATGATGTGGGTGGGTTAAGTGGGACGAAATATAAAACACAAAATCCTTCAATCCCCACACATTTTTGTACATAATAATACAATTATACAAAGACCCGTTGGTTTATATAAAATATAAAGCTTATAAAATATATATATTTTGCATGTAGTTATAGCGAAATATTTACACAGCTCAGAGGGTTGTACCGCCGTCCAATCTAGCTTAAACTACAAGACGGTACATTATTTACTGTATATTATATGTAGTTACAGAAAAAAGATTCACCCGAAATTTCCATTGGATTCTTATCCTAGTCATCTATACAAACGCAGACACGACTACACTATTTAATTATAATAACCTAACCAATTAATATTAATTATACATTATTATTTATGTATAATTTTATAAATAACCGATTAATTAATAAAACCATCTGTGTATTGTTGATCTAAAATGTTCTTTTATAATTTCACTGTAAATGACATTGTACTTGGGGTTCAATTTATTTCAGTATAAAATATTTCGAATCTGAACCACAAACAGTTTTTCACATGCTTCGCTGACCTTTGTCAACTCTGTGTAAATATTTTTCTGAAATAGCCATCATTATCATAGCGTTTTACAAAGAGATTCGAATAGTATAATTTTTGGGGATCGCAGCGAGTTAGTCAAGTTTTAAAACGAACCTCCATCAAAACTTTTTCAAGACAGCTGGTCCATCCAAACATAACACTTTTCGAAACATCACATTAAGTACTTCAAATAATATAGCTGAAGATTTCGGGTCACATTCAACTTATTTCACTGATAAAAGTGTACATAACTTCGTTTTAAATTCAAGCTGTTTTTGTTGCTATCACGAAACTTGGTATTACAAGACTGAATAATGTTAAAATATAAGCTAAAAACAATCTTTACTAAACTGGATTGAATACTGCTTTGATTACGAATAATGAAACAGTACAGTATTAAAATTATAACTGATTTAATGTTTTATATATCTACCTAAGTAAAAAGTTTCTAGAGGATAATTTTTAACATTAAAAAAAAAAAAAAAAAAGTCTAGATAATAAATTATAATACAGTACAAAAATTATTTTGATCTATTCTGCTTACTTGAGTTTTCGACCCATCTAATAATATGTTTTAAAATTGAATCCATTATTATAATCGTAATTTAACGTCAAAATCTAATTTTTACGAACATTTAACAATGACGAAATAGTACAAAGGTCAATAGCATCAAATTAAGATATCGTTTGTGTGGAAAATATTTTTACAAACAATACGCGTTCGGAAGTTTATATTTTTCCAATTGAACGTGCAACTTTTAACATCGTATCGATATAAATTACATATAACTGGCGTATACTAAATAAAAAAAAATGAAAAAAAAAACGAGAACAAATATCATTTTTTCCCTTAAAAAAAATGATTTTATAATCGTTTGATGTTGGCTACGAACGAAAACTCTTAGCTCTTATCACGCGGATGTCCATAGTGGTAAAATTTATTTATTGACATCGTTCAAGTGGCAACTTAAAATGGAAAAACACAATCTTTGCGTAAAAAATAACTACGACGTCTTTATTGAATTAATTACGTGTTGAACGAATAATACGAAATACGTTTCGATGCTGCGTTTAACAGGAAAACTGTATAGTAATAATAACATACGGCCTACCACATATTCTTACGTCTTCTTGTTGAACATTACACTTGTAGACAGGCGTACAATAGTGAAGGATTAAAGACAGATGTGGTAGATGAGGCTACAATTATAATGGTGAAGGGTCGACGGGCCGATGACCAATGAGCCGACACAACAATTTATCTTTCGATCATTTTTACATTTTTAATTATGTTCTCGTATCTGTACTTAT